AAATGGTTAGAACTGTGTATAGAAGTTCATTCTTCAGTTCATTCTTCAAGTTCATGTTTATACATCGAATGTTCAGGACATGGGCAGTCCTCAAGTCCTCAACAGGTATTGAAGCCATGAAAGTGACAGTGAAAAATCATTGCCTGAAGTCATCCAAGACGTCTGGATTGAACATCCATTCCAACTGAACTAGGGGTAATGCCTGCTTGGAGCATAGTGGGGGGATTATTGGTGGTGGTGGTGGTGGTGGTGGTGGTGGTGGGGGTTTAGAGAGATGTGACTTTGGGGGCAAGATCGTCGATTCCTTTTTTTGTGTATACCTGGAGTCTCCCCTGGCACCCACCCACCCCTGGCCCATCTTCGAAACAGTTCGGTGGGCCAGCACCCCACCCCTGGCCCATCTTCGAAACGGAGGGGGGTGGCCAAGAGCACCAAGAGCCTTCAAGAGTCGGTCTACATTAACCTGGTTTTCCATTTCATAAGCACCTATTCTCTATAAAATGAAAAACCCTGAGGGGACACATTGAGTAAGGGGGATCATTAAACCCTGAAGGAAAGATGCTCTTCCACTGTCCTTCGCGCTCCTGCCACCACCGGTCCGAGCACCGAGGCCCACGCCGAAGGATCCTCAGGATCCCCAGGAGCCGTGCCTGGGCATGCCGAAGGAGTGTGAGGAGTGTCGGGCCAGGCAGTAAACCTCTCTTTACATGTTGGTCAAGACATGTTAAGACCCCAAAACAGGGGGTCACTCAGGTCCGACGGGAATCGAATTTGGACTCAATCCCTAGGGATCAAAGCACTTCTCAGAAGATGATTGGAGACACTCTTATGTGTTGGGGGGTCCAAGTACCTTCTGAGAAGGTACTTGGATCCGTATGTTGGTTAAGACCCCACAAAACGACCCTTCAATCCATCAAGGTTTCCAGCACAGTTCAATCGGTTCAATCTTTGATCCAGGCTGAACCTCTTTTTTGTAGGCGGAATCCCTGATTAGACATACTCCTCAAATATGGGTGATCCCATCATGGAAGGACTCGTCATCCACCTAACTTGTTGCTTCGCCGTGTGTCAACCGAACACCTGTTGCCCGACACTGAAGCGAGCCAAGGGAAAAGGTGACCAACTGTTTGCGCTTCTTAGGGTGGCTTTAGCGGTGAATGTTTTTAGACAATATGCCAGTCCCGTGGAGTGTTTGGGCTACGGTTTTTCCATGTTTCTTTGTTGGTACTTCTATGTGTTTTTTTCTCTACTAGTACTTCCAGCTCCCTTTCCCACCCTATCATGGTTGAATGAGACTTCCCTCTCCGCATCGTCCCGAGGCCCACCGTCCCTGGGCTACCCGACTCGGGGCCTCTCTTGCCGTGCCGCGGCTGTGTCTTCGGAGGGTGCAAGACGGCACGGCGGTGCAAGCAGTTTTGTTCTTACAGTAGAGTCAGTTTTAACAGAAAAGGGTAAGACATAATAAGAACTTTGGCATGCAAAAGATCATAAAAGTCAGTTTTCAGTTTAGAATATGCAATAAAGTCACTTTGGAGTATACTTGTTCATGATGTTCACCCTGTTTTTGTCCGTGTATTCTAACTGACTGTTCTATATGGTAAAAGAAACCGCCACGGGAGGGGCAAGGATGGTTCATGACTTGGGGTCGTGCCTCATTTCGAGGGTACCTGCAGCAACTGCAGAGAGAATGGCAGGAAATTGTGGCCCAACGACATAATAGTAGATCACCCCCCCTCAAAAAATGTTGTTGGAAGCCGTTTCTCACATTTGATTCCAATGATGTATGGAAGGTGTACTTCCATGCTGCGTTTCCACGTGGTCAGCCCATGGACACGCCTTTACATCATGCCATTGGGTGTTGAGATGGTAAACATGTTAACACCAGCACGGGGTAACTGCCAGGTTGTGGGAATTGAAATGCGAGAGAATGCAATAAATACGTGGGAGTTTCTCAAAGTACAGTATACACTCCGACTCACTAACACGGAAGTGGAAAGCCTCCTGCGTGTGAAGGAAAATCGTCTTCCAAGAGAGACCATGCCATGTTAGTCAGTCAGAGCATATACAATGTATATATCGAATGTATATAGATGTCCTTTCCGGAGTTCAAGAGAAGGTGTTCTTTCGTCGGTATTTTGTTTATGTTCTCTTCGTTTCTGCGCAATTTGTGCACCCTTCTAGTCAACTGGCCTCCTGTTATGTTCCCTTTCTCCTTCACTGACTTCAGCCATCTTCAGCCTATTCTAGACCCTGAAGATGTACCCCAAAAAATGCAAGACATCGAAGAAGAACTGCCAGCAATGTATCCCAAGACCTCCCAAACGCTTCCAGCACCTCATCCAGCACCTCAAACGCTTGCATCTCCCGCCAGCTTTACCTCACGACCGGGCCTGGACCGGTTCGAGGTACCTGGACCGAGCTGCTTGCCATCATCGGCACGTGTCCCAGGATGACGGCGAGGGCGGGGCGGAGCGGAGCGAAGCGTCGGTGGTTTCGGAGGGCGAAACCGGCGAAGGCCCTTTGGGGAACGAGAGGTCGGATGTTTGGATGTTTGGATGTGAAGAAAATGAAGCACTTGGTCATTTGTCACATGAATGAAGAACTGTAGTCATTTGTTATTGTGCTTTCAAACAGAATTTGAAATTGGACATAGAATTGGACATTACGTGAAATTACTATAACTACCAGCAATGCTCTATAGTAGGTCAACTGGTCAACTGAATCCTTTCCTCAGCCAGTCCAGCAACCTGTTCCCATCGACCGAGGTGTGGTCCTGGCGCCGAGCTGGACGGCAAGCCGGTGCTGGCCCGCGAGCTCAGGGAGAGTGGGAGCTGTGCAGCTGACGTGCAGGCTCTCATGTGGAGTTCATGGATTGAAACACGAGTAATTAGGGTAATAGTGTTATATTTACCAGAGTTGTTGGGGGAACACAACTTTTGTGGATGCGTTTAAGAGCATGTGATTGTACAACCATTTGCTGAGGCTTCTTCCACTGACTCGTTGATTCATGTCAGGTCATCAATGACCCGACCTCACAGAGCCCAGCAGTTGACATATTGGAGGATGAGAGGTTCCGAGAAGTGTTCCAAGATCGAAGTAGTTCAATGGAGAAGTGTTGCAAGAACTGATCTGTGTATGGGTGGTACTTGGCACTTTGTGCATCCCTTCCATCAACATTAGATGAATCTAATGGAACCCAGTTGGTCACTGTCAATATGGTTGTTGGAACAAATCCTGCACTTCAAACGCACAGGACGTGGTAGATGATCTTATCCATGTTAGCTTGTGCCAGAACTATTCCTTTAATCATAGGCAGGGGGTGGTGTAAATCAGCGAGGCAGTCCTGGGGCGTCAGTCGCATGTCACTTCGCTACGCTCAGGCGTCGGTCCACGAAGTCCTGGACAAGGCGCCGTGGCCGAGGTGTGTTCCATCGGGATTTCGCCCATCAAAAGGCGTGGCACAAAGAAAAGGCTCCAAAAGGATGTAGAGATGGTGGGAACATGTGGGAACTTTGTTTCTTTGTTCTTGGTTCGTTTGAGAAGAGCAAGCACTCACTGTTCAGGTGGTTGGCTGGAGACCCGAGCCAATCAGGGACTGCAGTCACAATACGGGTGCAGTAACAATCAGAAGTTGAGCAGCTAATGATCACGTCCAGTCAAGAGCTTGCTGACGCTTGGGTTGACAGAAGACCTGAACAAGGACTTGCGGCGGACTCAGTCCGAAGTTGAGAAGCAGGTAAAATATATTGATCACGTCCAGCACTCCAATCGCTCCTTCACGGCTCCAGCAGCCGGATGTTTTTCTTCAGTTCCGTCAATAAGAGCCATGATATTCAGGCCCAGCAGCTTGAGGCCCATCCATTTGCTTCCAGCAGGGTTGCCAAATATTGGCTGCTAGGCCAAGTTGTTTCGACAATGCATCATATGTTGGTACAAAATTAAAAGTCAACAAACAAACATGTGCAAGTCATGAAGTTGTAGCATAGGCGGCATAGCCGGTTTCCACTTGAAACTTATTTGAGCAGCTTTGCGTTCAGCACCAACTTTGCATGTCTGGATGGTCTTGTGCCAGTTGCATCTGTGTCTCTGGGAAACAATGATGCTTATTTTGTCACCTTCGAGGATGGATGGTGGCAGTACAGAGGCATGCCTTCTTCCATGGACAAATATATAACAGAGCAAAACATTGCAGGGAACTATCCCAACGAGACCTTTGAGCAGATTTCCTTTTCCCAAGATTTGGAGGAGTGGTACCTGAGAACGAACAGAAGATGGTACTACACGTCACGTACACTTCGCAGTTTGGAAGACCAGTACATGACCACGGAGTGAGGCGACCAGCGCAGTGTGACAAACAGTCTTCTCATGTCCCCACCGCATGATTCAATGTCTTTTAAAGGGTCCTTCCTTGATGGTGAAATATGCCCTACACCTCCAGTCGTACCTCCTCAGAAGGTATGACTGAACCCTCCTGGCACCCACCCCAAACACCTTCTCAGAAGGTACTTGGAGACCTAGGGATGATGAATCTACAGTTAATGGGCATGCTCTTTATGCATCACTTGGATTCCGACACTCTGACTCACTAATGTGTGGACCGTGGAAAATGGGCTCGCCTCAAGACTAATTACTTTCCTATACAAACAGGTCGTTTTCCACTTTCATGCTAGTACGAGTACTTGATTGGTAGGCTTTGGCATTTACAGGGACACATCAGAACTATGTTCCGGTACAAACCCAGACGGACTCTACCTTTTTAATGTAAACATCTCGGCCCCTCAGGAACAATGATTGTGATTTGATAAGCAGGCCCGGGCTCAGAAAGGCTGATTTGGGTCTCAATTGCTGGAGACCAAGATAGTCGTTAACCCAGAAGCTGTGCGAAAAGTTTTCACCAGGAACAGAGTCAGTAGTTTGGTGGAAAACTGACACGAAAACAAACCAACATTGAACTATATGTTCAAAGATATTTAAAGACTCCAAGTCCTGAAAGCACCTCTCGAAAATCACAAAGAAAAGAACCCACAATTTGCAGCTATGGATGTTGAGAAGAAAGCGCGGCTTGCGGCCAACATCGCAGACTACTGGCGACCCGTGGGTGGTCAAGTCCCTCGACGACGTTTTGAAGAGGTGACAACAGTGGAGCAGCTTGGCGTGAGAATCAGGCTAAGTCCACCCGCCTTTGGAGGGCATCGCTTTGGAAATCCGTACGATCGGATTTGAAGCAGAAGCAGTGTTGAGGAGGGTGCAAAAGCAAAGACCATCAATGATCAACCAGAAAGACAAAGACAAACCAGTCATAGCTGCACATCACTCCGCACATCTTAGTTCGACCATCCCAATCCAGGGCGAATGTGCAAGGTGAACGACCCATCCAACCGGGTGCTTTTTTTCTGGATTCTGTGGGTCACCTGTTCAGAGCCTAAAGCTTCAGGACAGCTACCACCCGATTGGATGGGTGGTAATTTGATATAGTTTGGCTTACCTTGCGATGGATGGGAAGGAGGTGTTCAAATTGGCATCGATTTGCTGTCAGACCTTCCAAGAATGTCCAAGACTGGCGACTCCGCCTGAAACGTTATGTGGTTGGATCCGCGAGGTGAATAACACCCATCTTTGATCCGAACCAAAAGGTTTGCGTTCGAATGAACAACAAATGGAGGACGCTCCGACCAGGCTGTGAACAGGACAGGGGTGTGTTGTCCTCAAGGAATCCCAGCTTTTACACTCCCAAAGATTCAGTTGGGAGGAAATAGGATCGTCGTATGTAGTCTTCCACATCTAGTGGAAAAGTCATCCGAGTTTCTGTAGAGAAAAGGGAGCTCTTGGCATGTGTGCAAATGTGTGGCTACAAAGCAACACATGTGAACACCGATGATGTGCCTCATAGTCTCTCTCTACATTCGATAACAGTGAGATTGATGTATTTTTGATGTCTCAGGTTTCTTCGGGACTACGTGGCCATGTCACAGCCCCTCATCTTCACGGATCTACCAAGTGAACAATGGAGACTTGGGCCCAACGGACCAGCGGCGAAGCAGAGGGGAGCCGATGCCACCTGTATGGCCCAGGGGCGATGCCATCCTATTCCATGATCGTTTTGGGGACTTTATGTAATATATATATATATTATATATATGTTATTTTCTAGTATGCGCATCGGGTTCTTGCGTCAGACATCAAGACCGTCCCGGCAACAGCAGCATGGAAGAGGAACCCACAATTTCTCAAAGGCATGTTGGGCCCCAGTTGCTTAACTCCAGAAAAAATACACTGTAGATGAACAGCCCATCCCCTCCAAACACAGCCACTTTGTTTAACCACGCCATGAATTAGCCCAAGTTTTTCTGTTGACTACACTATGAATAGTCCATTCCCCTACCATGAACCGCCCAAGTGAACTCATTAAGTGTTAAAAACTCGATATCATGAGCCGTCCAAAAGTTGCCATGATCCACCAAATTGGCCCAGCACTCAGGCCATCGCACACATGTGCTTCGCACCCGCCCCCCCCCCTTAGGCCCTGTTTGCACCGCTGGACCGATGAGTACCTCACCACGCTGAGCGAGCACTTCGTCTCGGTGAACGTCACGCCCAACGGCCGCGCCGATGCGGTGGACGAAGAGGGGAGGTTTGTGAAGCCTTTGGAGGAACGGATGAGCTTCCAGGACTGGGGGAGGAGGCGGATGGTGTAGGAGCACTCCTATAGCTATAGCCAGCAGTCACCAGGAAGTCGGGGTGTCGAACTTGGAGGATAGGCATAGGGGTGCCCAGACTGGGGGAGGATGTTTTTGAGGAGGAACTCTCTGGATGTTTCTTCTATGATTCTTTCGAAAGCTCTGGAGGGATGAGGATGAGGCTTTAAAACAGCCATATATTGTGAGTGTGTTGCCTTATTTCCTTTTGGTTCCTCTGCTAGACTCTGCTACACGGTTGGCTTGTCAGCCGGGCAGGTGACTACTAAGGTGCTGCAAGTCGTTTCAAGCAATTCATTTCAATGTGCGTGGCGCTGACAAAAGACCGCAGGGGACGGTAGTGTTATTTGTTCATGAATCGTGTCTTGGGGAGTCATTCGTTTCTTTGGAGCCATCAATGACGGGTCCCGGATGTCTCCTTTTCGGATGGTCGGACGGAGGTTTTCGCTGCGAAACGAAACCAGACATGGTGACATGGGTCTTTCACTGGGGCCGACATGGGCCGACAGTAGGACATCCAAGCTGCTCTGATGGTCCTGGACCCTTGGGCTTCCACAAACACCACTATGGCAAGGAAGCCCAGTTTGGTTTGTATGTATGACTGTTTGGTTTGTGCAAAAGGAGGAAGGAGGTCGACTGTGCTCTGCGTTTGGGTTTGTCCTGCGTTTGGGTTTCTCCTGGCCACACATTGGCTGCAGGACTTTTGGAAATCTTTGTCCTCTGGAGGCGAAGTCCTATACCTTTCACGGCAGAACGACTCCTTGCGCCATTTGGCTTCACGATCTGATTGACGTGTTTTTTTTGCGGATGCATGCTGATGCCACGGTGTGTTCGTGTCAGAGTGTTGTGCACCTGGATTGATGAACCCCCTAGATTGATGGTTTACTAAGGGTCACGACTTGGCTAATTAAGGGTTGCATCGTGTTGTAAATCCCACCTCTCAGATTGAAGGACGGCTTATGAAAAGGATTGAAAAAGGTCCTGATGGTGTTTGGCAATTTAGTTACCAAAATGGTGCCTCCGGGGGAACACAGAATGGCTTGCTTCGTTGGTGTGCAAAATCCCAGAAAGGCATAGCCTATAGCTTAAGCCTTCTGCTCGCAAGGACTTGTCAAAAACCAAGATGCAAGCCGTTGAACATCTATAGTGGATTTCATAGGTTATTTCGCCTTCGCCCCATGTTTGACGAGTGCGGGTCGTACAAAGAAATCCGATCAAACCACCTCTTCGAACTATTTCACTCATAGACACCATCGATCGCAATCCAGACACCTCTTCACCTTGCCACCGGCGATCTGAGCCAACAGGGAACCTGGAAGTGAAGTGTTTGGCTCACTACCAAGAAGTTTCATCCTGCACCAAACCCACCCCCAGACCACGGCGAACCCACCCCAGACCACCCGCCATCAGTTAGGCGAGGAATTCGCACCGTTGCTGGGCGATATCCCCTCGGTGGTGCCCCTGGCTGCGGAGGCCTTCAACAACGACCCGGAGGCCCGGGTAGAACATCTGATGAGGACGTGGAGAGTGGTGATGAGATGTGGTGAGTGAGTGGAGAGTGAGTGGAGAGAGGGCATGGTGACACTGACATGTCCACATCTTCCAGTCTCATGAGATGTGGATCTGGTGCGTGATGGTGAGTGGAGAGAGGGTTGGGGGAGGTGGATCGTTCGAAGGATGGACAGATACAAGGGAGGCGAACAGTGACATTTCCACATGGTCCACGTTCATGGGTCTCAATCTCAAAGAATACAACACATAATAACACATACTATGTGATTTCCATCATAGCATGTGCATTCCATCATAGTATACAACATACAGTGAGTTCAAAGGAACTATGTTGGAACTACTCCTGAGACTCTGGGAACTCATCAACACCTATAATATATATATATATATATATACCAGGACCTTCAAAGTGACCGAACTTGAGATCCTAGAATGAGGTCACGAATCGTCCCTAAAGAGGTCACTTAGAGACTCCAAAGAGGTCACTTGGAAGGTCCTGGTATATGGCCATGAAAAATGGTTCACATCGAGTCTAGAGACTGGTCTATTGTCTTTCTTCTTAAGGGATCTATGGGGGGTTCCCTATTTTATCCTATTTGTATATACACCTATATGGTTTCATGGACTTGGACATACCAGCCCCCTTCACCTAACCCACACACTCCATGTGTATGGAATATATGCCCATATTGACCCCTGAAACCACCCCACTGTATTTCAATATGACTATACTGTAAATATGCCATACATGGAGTGTTTGGGCTACAATGCCAGTCCCAGACAGGTCGTATATAGATAATTATGCCAGCCCCATTGTTCATGGCTGGGGGTTACAGTCCGTGGCCTTACCCGCTTGGAGGCCATCAATCTATGGATTGGCGAGGATCGCTCTGTCTCTTCATGTCACAAGGACATCTCACAAAAACTTTGCTCACAGGCTTCTCAACGTTGGATTTAACTGGTGAACAGAGAAACCCTTCCCGGGAAACCACACAGCTTTTGGATAGGTCGTTCAATGGGATCGGACTTTGAGTGCTGACTCATTGGGAGAATCCAAAGAGTCTTGCGAGACGACGACAGCACCGACGAGGATCTGTTGTTCAATTGCTCTTCCAGCGGTGAATCATTGGACTCGCAAAGCTCTCAAGGACCCTTATGAGAATTTGTACCTCGTGGTGCGCGGAACCAAGCTCTTCACACTTTTGCCTCCAGCCAGCGCCCCGTTCTTGCACGAGGACTCGGCTGTGCCATGGAAGAAAAACGGTGAATATAGGGACAAGAATAGGGTTTGGGCCTAGGCGGTTTAGGAGCTTATTGCAATCCATTTGCAGGTGTTCAGATTCCACGTCACCCCTAAACCCCTGGATGCCCTGGAGATCCAGCATCAAGTCTCCATTCCGGAGCTTTGGATTAGATGTGAGTTGGCCAAGTGCTTGAAGTTCTCCACCCGAGTCCCTTGGTTCTTTTTGCCACAGAAACATCACACAGAAGACGATGACGTTCCAAGCAACACTTTGGCCAAGTTGAACAGACCGATTTTGTAAGGGTATTCCTTAGCTTACCTAAGAAGGCTTTACCAGATTGTGGCCTGCAATCAGGGAAAGCAGCGTTGAGTGCCGTGTTCAATTGGACTTTGCCAAGCAGGCTTTGTGAGGACCATGTATGATTGGCCTCCGCCACAATTTCAACACCTTCCATGATGGACGATTTGATCCTCTTAAGTTGAACGATGTACCGAGGGGCATGGGGGGGTCCCAACACGAATCCAGGATGGCTTTCAGCATGCTTAGCCTAGTTTAGCGGTGATCTTCAAGCTGAAAGGAGGAAGTGCCAGCTGCTTCGTACGTGCGCAATGACTCTGGGCAGTTGGAAGTGGTCTTGGACAATCCAGTGCCTTGACGTGTCAGCTACGGCAAAAGGTGGTCAATGGCCTGTGGACCAGGGTGACTGACTTTTGGGAAGCCTACAGGAGGAGACATGTTCCACCCCACCAAACCCCACCAAACAGACATCGCCATTCCCAAAACAAAAAACGCAAAACAACCAAAAGCCCCACAAAACATCAAAAAAAAACAAACACGTCCAAGTGATGTCAACGGATCCCCTTCGACGTCGCTGCGGACGCACGATCCACAGCGACGATCCGCCCGAGGAGGACTTCGTGCCATGGATCCCCTTCGACGTCGCCGACGTCTACGGCGACGGCGATGGTCGCTACGCGGACTATGGTCGCTTCGGCGCCGCGCTGGCGGTGGAGGTCTCGGTGGAGGTGGGAGCGATGTGGGGAGAGAGAGGGATGAAAGAGAAATCGAAAAGGAATGGACGATTAATTAGGGGGGAGTTGTCAGAAGGCTTTCTTTGAAGTGTTATTACATGCATGTGGTATGGTATATTTGCCAGAAAGAGGTGAAAAACCAAAACACTCGTCCTTTTTTGCACCTTTGCCAGGCGGGTGAGCTTCTCTACTTACCTGCCATGTGGTATCATCGGGTGGCACAACGCGGAGTGGCCCGGCGGTTCGTGGCGCTCCTTCGCTGTGCGGAGGAGGGGGTCTCCGGATCAGGCTTTACTTCCACTCCCGTCCCAAGCGGCGGAGTATACTTCCTGGTGACGAACCGATACCCAGACACGACCTGTCTGGGACTGGCATATCAAGTTGGATAGCCAGTCTGGCGGCAAGAGGCGCCAGTCTGGCGTGGAATCCTCCCCCTCCTGGCCGAGGCAGCAAGACATCACAAGTATCCAAAAGTGATGACCCTAGGCAGGTCATATAACCACCGGAGATATATGATCGGCATATTTACCCCCGTGGAAAACTAACATGGACCCTGAAAACCACTGGTTTGTAGAGGAAAACAGTTGGTTGACCTGGGATGGATATACATGGAGTGTCTGGGATGTATTCAGCCATATATTCAGCCAACAAGCATATTCCAGTCCAGTCCCATCGGTCATGTTTGGGTATGGGTGGGTGTGTTTACCCCCGCCTTCACCAACCACTGGGCCGTGACGACTCACTCAGGTGACCATTGCGGTGAACTATTGGCACGACATGCGCCTTGGAATGGTATGTCGTGCCTCAAGATATCACCAGCAATAACTGGCAACTGAAAACTGGCAACCCAAGAGGAAAAGGGCTAGTTAAATAATTCTGTCATATAGTGGAATGGATACTAAACAGAATATAACAGAATACTTGGATCTTATCAAGAGGAGGATGTTTTTTGCACGTGCTTTGGTTGATTCCTTCAGGCAGTTTGGGCACAACTACTTGCACCACCAGTTTCTCCGGGATGCCTTTGGCATGGACCGTTACGACGACGTCGAGGAGTGATGCACCTTGGAGGATGAAGATCCAGGCTTCATCGCTGAGGCAGACATCCTTCCAGTCCCATGGATGGTCTGGGAGAGGTTGTTTGGAATTGGAAGTTGAGCCCATCCTTCTTTCGCGGACCCGACGGAGTCAGATGGCGAAGCATTTTCTGGTATTGGTCAGATGGCGAAGCACACGTCACAACACATGGCAGACGGGGCGCTGACAGGCTGAGCTGGTGTGAAACACACTGCGAGTTCTCGATGGCAAATCACTGGGAAGGGGAGATTCTGAGGGCTCCTGCGCCTTCGCGGCAAATCGTTCAGGGCCAGTGAATCAGCAGACCGCAGACACGGAAGACGAGACGCCGGTGCCCTAGCTGGCGGAGAAGCAGTGCGAAGCAGTGGAATATCTTCGGCAGAAAGTACAGGGAAAAAAAGGTGATCAAGTGGAACAAGAGGCCTTGCACCGAGCAGTGATTCATCCTAGGAATCCAGTCGTACCTTCTCAGAAGGTACGACTGGACCCTCCAAATCTACATAACAGTGCCTCCAATCACCTTCTGAGAAGGTACTTGGATCCCTAGGGTCAGTTCAACTGAAGGAGTTGGAAGAAAAGAAGGCTTCGTGCTGCTGTGAGCTGTTGACGCATTCCTCCAGTCTGGAGATGTTTGAGGTCCCTACAATGACAACAGGTCCCAAAGGTTATTCTGAAATCCGGGATTCCTCAAAGAACCATAAATGCCCTATACAGGGGAGACTTGCAAGGTACTCATGCAAAAGTATGGAGCGTACTGATGCGTACTGGTCAATTTTCTTACCAATGGGTGACTGGGGTGCTCTGCTTTCGAGCCTTATACTCCGTTGTTTACTTTGTGGAAAGGTATTTGTGGAGAAACCACCAAGTCAGAATGAAAGCTCTAGCTTTGAGCAAAGTCAGAAGCTGCAGGTTCTTTTGATTTGGCTGCACCTTCCTATTTTGTATTATAGTCAATGTGAATCTGCGGATCACTTCCAGGTTTGCCAGAGGGTAACAGAAGTGATCAGAAGTGGAACAAGACCTGACATGTCGTGACGCTAGTAGTGACACCAAACGAGATGTCGATGTAAAGGTAGTGGACACGTCGAACCTCAATGATATCCTTTTGGGGAACGGTAGGGGGATCGATGCCAGGTAGCACTGGTGTTCCTTCTCAGAAATCATCATAAATCAACCAACCAATAGTAAAAGGCCATCTATGCATATCTATGCCGTCTCCTTTCTAGGTTGCAAAATCCTACCGCAGTCAGTATAGACAACCTGAAGGTCACCTTTCTTGGGGGTGGAGATACTCAAATCCAACCAACTCCACTCATCCAGGTATCCCTAGCTATGGGCGGAGATACTTCCATATATTGGCATCCCAGGCCCCAGGTCGGCTATCTTCACCCAGGGATACTTCCATAATATACCCCAGGGAGCTGTTTTGGTGACCCTTTCTTCTTTTGGAACCCCAAAACAGCTCCAAACGCCGCGCCAGGTGTCGGTCCCACGGCGGGGCGTCGGGCTACCAGCGTGCCTTGGACGGACTCGGAGCGCCGTGTTCGTCAGGTCGGTCGGAGGGGCAACGAAGAACGGGTGATTTCGTGGATTGGGAAGAACCAATGTAGACCTGTGATTATATTGGAAGCCCTGGTTGTTGAGGGAGGGGGGGGGCCGGGGGGGGTTGATTAATCAAGAGTCTACATTATAGAGCCATGATGGGAACAACTCTAGAGCCAACTCGAGCCAATTGATCGTTGGCTGTTTGGTCTATGGAGTCTATGCCGTTTGGTAACGATACTTTGCGATTGGATCGTGCCATGCAAGACTTCCGAAGGTCGCAACGTTGGAGCACATGAGTGCGTCGGAAGCGGTTCCGCGCCGTGGCTATCGCTGGTCAATTCGGATGTTCTTGCCTTTGATAGGACAAACATGATGTCAAACAAGGGTGAGAGGACAGCGCGTGTTCGGTGTATGTGTGCACTACGTGCAATGTTTTCGCTGAACACCGAGAGCCGGACATGGCGAGAGAGGGGGCGCCGTCCGATCCTCCAGAGGTCTTGGAGCAGAATCCACCTGGTCAACTATCCCTATAGGGATCCAGTCGTACCTTCTCAGGCTGTTGTGTAGGTGCCAGGAGGATCCAGTAGTACCTTTTGAGAAGGTACTTGGATCCCTAAAGTATGTTTGCAGGGGAATGTTTAATATTTGTTTAGAATAGGTGAGATGGTTTTGACATGTAAAACATGCAGTCTGAATCTCTGAAGACAAATCAAACACTGCTATTAAACATGTATAAATTGCTTTTGGACCCATAACCAGAAGAACTCGATTGACTTGCTGAGGGCAGCCACCTTCTCCGCCGTCGAGCGGAAGGCAGATGGCATTTGAGCAAGTGTCAACAGCTCTTGAGTGTTTTTGTTGCGCTCAGGTGTTGTCGTCATCCGGAGCATGTAGAAATAGAGGTCAATGCACAAGCAGTGAGGAGTGCTCAGAGGAGTAGTTCTTGGAGAGAGTTTTTCAGGTCACCTGAAACGGACAGCAACGAACACAATGGTCGTTTGGAGGACATGTATCCCCAGGTCACCTTAGAGTTGGGTGGGAGATCCCAGCCCATGTAGGGCCATTCTAAAAAAAATAAACAAAACGCATGACCCCCAGGCCATCAGGACATGGTCTCCAGATCGGCCACAGCGAGTGGGTGAGGCCTGAAAAGAAAAAACAAACAAAACTGAAAGGTCCAGATGAACCCAGATGGATATTAATTAGGGGTCAGGTTTTTGGACATGCTCGGGATTGTTTGTCTCCTTTTGGACTCGTATGTTTGAAAGACATACGAGTCCAGATGCTCTTAAGGACATTCTTGAGTTCACCAGGTCAACGGTTTGAAGTTGGAAGGAGCAAGAGAAGTACCAAGTCCTTCCAGTGCCATGTGGACTGCTTGAAAAATATGTGAAGGCCCTTCAACAAAGAAGCACTACAGAAACCACAAAACCACACCTCAGCTGAAATGGCGAACCCTGCTTTCACCGCTCACCTCAACCCCCATCCCCATCCCCTGTGCCGCTTTGCCGCAGGCGCTGAGACATCGTTTCTACCCCTTTGCACCCAGTGTTTCACCACATGAGCTGGAGCAAATGCTCCTGCTTCATGCCTTTCAGGCACGCATGGGCACGCATGGGCACGCATGGGCACCTGGGACCTTGGGTTGTTTCCTGTGTTTTCCTTTGCCGGCAGGGCCCAGTCGTTGTTCTTTTTGCACTGCTGTCGGTGTACCGTTGGTGTATCCTTGGTGTACCATTGGATGGAGTGTTTTGGGTATGGCAACTTGATTCCCCAAAAACTGGGATTGAGCCTCAAGCCAACAAGACAAGTTCACACGGGGTAGCCTCGCACGTTGTAGGAGTATGATACATCATCAATCTTCCCAACCCAGCTCGAATCCTGGCGTGGATCCTTACTGGAGCCCGTTCCACCGATGGCGATTCCACCCCATCCATGACCCCCGCCAACATCAACAAACGCATTTGACAGAAGAATCGGATGTAGGTCCAGGTGTATAGTATACAGAAGTGTACAGTTTCACCGGAAGTAAGTTTGAATCTTCCCAGCTCTTGCAGTTCAGTTTCCTGGTTGATGTTCTTCTCCTGCAGGATTTGATGTTGAAAGCCGCACCAGAACGAAGCTGGTGGTGGCCTCGGACGTGGGGATGTGCAAGAGAAACATGGAGCAGGACGATGGTCGCTGCTGCTCAGCTGGTCATATATTTTGAGTCTGAGGATAGCACTTTGGGGGTTGATTCATGGAGTAAACGCAGTTTGCGCCACTTGGAGGGTCAGGCCACATGTTATTTCCCTTGTAATCGTCCATATTGAATCCTGATATATCGACCAACGTATCGACAACTACCCGATCAGGATCCGGTCCCTCGAATACAAGGGTTTTGAGGTGCCCCAAACCCCTCCAACAGAGGTCAAGTGACCTTACAGGACCCTACTGGGACAGTCGAACTAGGGTTCTTCAACATCTGGGACAGTCGATGGTTCGACCCTGCGAAGGTCAAGAACTCCGAAGGAACTCCGAGGTGCGCTCTGGTCTCGCCAGCTCAGGTGCTTCGCTGACCGTCGATGGCGGGAGCTCATCCCCAAGAGCCTCTTTGGACAGTGCTTGGAGGCGATTCGATAGTTGTTCTTTTTTTGGCCACGGGCTTCAGAACCCCAGAGATGGCCATCATTTTGCAAACAGACAAAAAGACGTCCGTTGATTCTTCCGGAGTTTGAGAAAAGGGTGCCTCAGAGACCCTATAACCATCTATAACCTCACATTTAACCCCTCAGCAAAATTTAGGTAACTGTTTGGTGTTGTATAAAGATAAGCTGCTCTGCTTGCTGTTATATGGTAGTTGGTAGTTGGTTATTTGTTTATCCTAGACAATATAGAAACATGTAGATCTCCAGTCAGAGAGTATCACACAGCTTTGGGGGAAAGGAACTTGCGAAAAGCCTTGAGTTTGCCTAATGAAAAAGACTAGGTGCCAACTGACCCTTTTTGTGGGATCGGTGAAACCCCATTAGAACACCAACAGGTGCTTTCAGTTCCGTTCACCGTGCTTTTCCAAACATCTCCATTTGGTGTCCTTCGCGCCAGGAAGCGTTGAAGAGCGAGCCTTTTGTGGACACGGCGTATTTGCCTCGCCACGACTGCTTGCTGCTGGTGCTCCACCACAGGTCCGCGCGGGGGCACATCGCAGGTCGGAGCTAGTCCTTGTAGTCTGTAGTCCTTTTAAGAAGTGCACAACTTGGTGATACAAGGCTCATTTCATTGCTTGCAGCAAGCAATATGAGAGATTCGTTCATGAGGGGTTCCAGGGTGCATTTGGGTGGCAAAGTTGATTCAACTCGTTGGTCCCCAATTGGTGGTAAGTTACTGACCACTTGATGTTTGGCCGCCTGGCCTAGAAGTGAGTTCCGCCTTGTAGTTCCGCCATGAAGTGAGTTTGGCCTAGAAGTGAGGAGCAGTTGAGCAGTTCACGACTGGACACTGATCATTCCCAGACACAACCAATGGGACTGGTATATAATGCCCACATTTGGGTGGTTTCAATTGTCAATGTAGGCATTTAGATACCAGTCCCATTTGGTCGTGTTTGGGATTCAGCTTCATGTTGAGTTCACCACTGTATGCACCAGTTGCATGAGCCAGTGGATGCCCGGCAGCCACAAGTAGGTAAGGAACCAGGGGCCCGTTCCGTCTGGTTTTTGTTCCTCCAACTGGAAGCACTGGAACTTCCAGCGAACGAACACGTGGTTGGCGTGGGTCTACCTGGCAATTGTATATACACATCCTCTTAATGTCGCTTGGGTCCGTGTTCCTGTTCTCCTGCGCCAACCTGAAAGCCGTCTCTAGAGTTGAATGGTCTTCGCAATGCCTTTCTTCAATATACTCGATCATGTTGGGGTCCCAGGTGACCAGGTCTTCGGATCGACGCGTGGGTACCGCAGGTCGGTGCCTGGGCAAGTGCTTTGGCACGCCTGGCATGGTGACGTGCTGGCGAAGGCCCAGGACGCCGGTGCGAAGCGCGCGTCTTCGGAG